CCTCCCAGAGTTGTTGTGAGGGTCAAACAGGATTTTTTTCAGTCTTTTTTTCAACCATGTCTGACTCTTCATGACCCTATTTGGGGTTTTCTTGGCAAAGATAATGGAGTGGTTTGTCATTTCCTTCTCCAGGTCATTTTATAGATGAGGAAACTGAGGCAAACAGGGTTAAGTGTCTTGCAAAGGTCGCACAGCTAATTAAGTATGTGAGGCCAGATTTGAACTCAAATCTAGAATCCAGCCTGGGCACTTTATCCACCTGCTGCACCTAGCTGCCCCTCTCAAATGAGGTAATAATTATAAAACACTTAACATAGTGCTGGCACATAGTAGGAGCTATAGAAATATTAGCCTGTATTATTATTAATATTTATGAAGTGCTTAGCACAGTACCTCACACACTGTAGGACCTTAAATGTCCATTACTTTCCTTCTATTAACCCAGGTCAGTATCTGGTCTGGGAGAGTTGGCTGGGACAGTAAGAGGTTACATGACTTGCTCCTTATCATCCAGTCAGTATTGCCGATCTTCCTGGTTCTAGCCACTCCCCACTGTTCCTGGAGCCTTTGTTTTACTCATCTGTGAAATGACAATATGCATGCTTGAGCTACAGACTTCACCAAAGGATGATGAAATAAATGGGGTTTAAGTACTTTTGTCATCTTAGTGACAGTTTCTCCAGAGCAGTGCACTCATTTCTTCCTTATTATCGCTAATCTGTCTTAGAATTCTAATATTTATATTTTACCTTCAACACTTTAAAAAGATCTGTGATTTTATTAGCGTGGGCTTTCTTTCCACTCGTGCAAATAATTCCTCCATGCCTTAGTTCTTTCTGTATCCTCCCCGATGTCATCTATGGCCAATCTTCTTTTGCTAAGTACAACATTTTAAATATAAAAAAAAGTTTGTACACTTAATAACATTTCTACCATGGAACTCTCCCCTCTCCAGTTGTAAAAAAAGTACTTGATTTGGTGATCAATTAAATGTTAACTATAACTTTATACAAGCACATAATCAGTTTTTTATGTGATGTTTACTTTAAAAACGGTAATAACTTCTAAAATCAAATATAACATTGAAAAAGAAATCTATGCAATGTAATGATGTATTTATACGAGGTTTCCTTTGGTTAATGTAATTAACTGCATTCTAGTAGAGTTTAGTTCCATTTGTGTAAAGCAAATTTCTATTAAATGAATCAGTTTTTTCATTGAATTCCATTGCGATATTAAAGTTATACCAGAAAAAAAAAATTGGCTGCTGGTTTAATAAACTCACTCTTTAAGAATACAGCAGATGCTTAAGTATCATATTTAGGAGAAGGGAAAGAAGTTAATTTTGTGATAGCATTGGGGGAAAATTGATAATATTAGAAAATAACAAGATTTTATACTCCAAATAAGTCATAACATAACTAAATGTGAAACTAAGCAGTATTAGAAATTGGTTTACTTCATGTTTTCCTTAATAGAACTAGCAGTCTTTAAAGTGATGTTAAGAATTTGGTTGAAATGTGGGTCTGGGGGGTTTTTGTTTTTATATTTTTTACTATTTTGAAATTGTGCTATCACTTCTAAGTCACTAAGTTTACGTAGTGGGTGCTTTTTTAAAATTTTTTTATAATTCCAGTAATTTAAAAATTATTATTTTTCATTATTTTTATTTCTTGAACCAATTGATACTTTCACCTAAAGTTGGTAATTAACCTATGACTATGATATCCTTGAACAGGAGATATATAATGCTGTAGCATTATATATTTTCTTAGCATTTTATAATGGCTGCCTGAGCAGACATTATAAATCTAATAGCAATTAGCAAAATAGTTTGTCTCTGTGTTAATCATTCTGTTCCAACTCAAAGATACAGTCAATTAACTGATAGCTGCTGTCATCTGGGATTTGTTAATGATGTAGCAAAGTGGTCTTTAAAATCTTTACCATTAGCCAATTGCCAGCATTTAGCAGCTAAGAAGAGATGAGAATTCTCCCTAGCCAGGAGTCTCAATTACTGTTAAGTTGGAGGAGCATTAGTCCTAAAAATAACTTTGAATTACTTTGTAATATATTTTAGTTGAGAGTTCTCTTAGTTTAGAAAAAAACTCTGTAACTTAATTACTTTTTAGTAATTTGTAATTAAATGTTTTGGCGGTAGTTGAGAAAACATTTTGAGTTCCAAGAGCGTAAGTTTTACAGCCCCAAAGACCTTGGGATTCAGATTCCAATGCTACCATTTTCTAGCAGTATCCTTGGACATGCCCCTGTACTTTTCTTGGTCTCAGCTTCCTCTTCTGTAAAAGGAAGGGATTCGTCTAGATCATTGGTTCTTAAAGTTTGGTCTAGGGGTCCTCAAGGCCAAAACTATTTTCATAATAATACTAAAATATTATTTGCCCTTCAAAATACTTCTTCCTTTTCCAGGAATATATCCACGAGGCCAGATTTTCTTCATATACTTAACTTCAGCCCAAGTTACATTATCTCAACAGTTTGATTGCAGAAGCAAATGTGAGAGAATCTAGCTGTCTTCTGTTAAGCCAGATGGGCAGCTAGGTGGCACAGTGGATAGAGGGCTGGGCCTGGAGTCAGGAAGATTTATCTTCCTGAGTTCAACTCTGGCCTCAGACATTTATTAGCTGTGTGAACCTAGGCAAGTCACTTAACCCTGCCTCAGTTCCTCATCTATGAAATGAGCTGGAGAAGGAAATGGCAAGCCACTCCAGTATCTTTGCCAAGAAAACCTCAAATGGGGTCACAAAGAGTTGGACACAGCTGAAGAACAAAAATTAAGCCAGACACTAGATTTGCAAAAATAGGTAAAACAATGCCACATTTCTCACTAGTTTTATTTTTGTTTTGTAAAATAGAATTAGCTTTCATTACATTGTTGTTTATATTAACCTGTAATGGGTTTTTAAGAGTGTGAAAGGATCAGAGAGCAATTTGGAACCATGCCTAAAGGGATATAAAACTGTGCATACCCTTTGACCCAACAATAGCACTCCTAAATCTGTATACCAAAGAGATCATAAAAATGGGGAAAAGACCCACATGTACAAAAATATTCATAGCAGCTCTTTTTGTGGTGGCCAGGAATTGGAAATTGAGAGGATGCCGATCAATTGAGGAATGGCTGAATAAGCTATGGTATATGAATGTAATGGAATACTATTGTGCTATAAGAAACGATGAGCAGGCATACTTCAGAAAAACCTGAAAAGACTTATATGAACTGATGCTGAGTGAAGTGTGCAGAACCAGGAGAACATTATACACAGTAACAGCAACATTGTGTGATGACCAACTTTGATAGACTTAACTTCTCAGCAGTGCAAGGATCTAAGACAACTCCAAAAAACTCATGGTGGAAAATGCTATCCACACTCAGAGAAGGAACAATGGATGTCTGAGTGCAGATGGGAAGCATGCTGTTTGTTCTCCTTTTCTTTTGTTGTTTTGTTTTGATTCTTCTTTCTTGTGGTTCCTCCCATTGGTTCTAATTCTTCTTTGCATCATGGCTAATGTGAAAATATGCTTAATATAAACATGTAAGTAGAGCCTTTATCAGATTGCACGCCACCCTGAGGACAGGGAGAAAATTTGAAACTCAGTCTTATGGAAGTGAATATTGAAAACTAAAAATGAATAAATAAATTGTTTAATTTTTTTTAAAAAGAGTATAAAAGGGTCCTGTGACCAAAAAATGTAAGTGCTGCTGGACTAGATCTTTTCTTAAGTCCCTTGCCATTTTAAAATCCAGTGATCCTAAATAGACTTGTTATTTTTAACAGATTGTAAATTGCCTGAGAGAAAGATGATAGAGTAGGAGAAAGCAATACAGGCCATCACTCCTCCCCATAACTACTCTAAGAAGGACCTAAGAAGAGAATCACTCTTCATCAGGAAATCCAAGGGAAGTCCCAGTGAATCATTTTTCCATTCCAGGTCTGCATAGGGAGATAGAAGTCTCTGGACATTGGGAAAAGGAACTAGCCTGTCATGGGGACTTAACTGAGGCCTAAAGATCTTCACAGGGGTAAGAAAAGGTCTTAGAGAGAGAAGGGACAGACTTAACTCTGTGCAGGAAACAGACACAGGAGCCAGATGCTAGCATCACTGAACTGCATCACGGATCCATTGCAGACTGAGGAGGGAAAACGTATACCTAGGGTAAGTGGTAGGTGAGTACAAGTAGTGGCTGTAGGCCTGAGGCTGCTGTGTACTGGGTAAGGAGCAGGAACAGCAGCTGTGTGACTGACCCTAGAGTGGGGTCAGTCTCCAGGACTGTCTCATGCATCTGAGTAGGGCAGGAAGCTTACACCAAGGGGGAATCCTTGAAGAGCCTTTCATTGGCTTTCCAGCTAGCTGTCACAGGGCTGAGGCCAACCTACAGTTGTGTCACCCAGATCCAGATGAGATCAGGAGCTTGCAAAGCTCAGACCAAGAGGACTGCAGGTAGACTGCCCCAGAACAGACCAGTTTGGTGGACTGAAAGCCAACAGACACCCACTGTGAGTTGTACTGAGATCCTTTGAGAACACAGCACTCGGTATGGAGGAAATCCAGCAGCAGGACCTAAGAGGATACAAAACAGGATTTTATCAGGCCCAGACATTCCTTCCTGTGCTTTGCAAAGCCTGGCACTATCAAGTTGTCAGTTTGGGAAGTAGTGCTGGAAGAATAAGCGAAGAAAACAAAAAGACTCCTTCCATATTAGGTGCTGTCATTCCCATTTTACAAGTGAAGAACCTGAGATTGACAGTGGTCACCAGCTCGTCACACAGCTAGTACACATCTGAGGCTAGATTTGAACTCAGATCTTCCTGACTTCAGGTCCACTTGGTGTTTCTTTAGTAGGGGTTCCTTATAAAAATCAAATCATTGATTTGGACCCCAAAATCGTGTGCATGTGTAAATATAAAAGAATTTTACAAAACTGCAGTGATTTTTAGATTATAAATATTCATCATGTTCATTTTTTTTCTTTTTATAAGACTGGACAATACATTAGAGGAAATCATATTTAAGCTGGTTCCTGGACTACGAGAACGTAAGTAGTTATTTCATTTTGGTCTGGGGAAAATTTTTGGTGTTTTAGAAAATCGATATGTTTCTGTTAATACTTTTGTATTTTTCTTTAATATGTTGAATTTTTTTTAATTAGAGGAACTTGAGCGTGAGACAGAATTTTGGAAGAAAAACAAGCCTCAAGAAAATGGACAAGGTGCCTTTTTTAAATATATACACAGACTTCTGTTTGTGAAATTAATCGTATGTTTATGCTTTTTTTGTTTTTTAGTGAACATAATTACAACTTTTATCATTTTAAAAAAAAATTTACCATCTGAGAGGTAAAGGATAATAGGGAGATAGAATTCTGAACTGTTTCTTCCTTATTACTTCTTGAAATATGGTCCCTTTTTATTTAGGCAGGTCTTCTAAAATTTGCATGTGGTAATAGTTGAAGTTTAACTGTAAATAATTTAATGTAAGTAATTTCACTAATTTATAGTATGTGTGTATACACACACAGAGGAAAAACATGAGGATATGTTTAACAAGAATCCCTTTTACTCATTTAATAGAGTATTCCATCAGTAAGTATTAATCAGAATGTTTAGTTTTAAAAAGTAGTGTTATTTTAAAGTTTCTGTATCAAATATCAGATTGTAATTTTTGCTGAATTAATCACATAATCTGAGAGTCATATGGAACGTCAGAGGCCATCTAGTCCAGTCCATCTATGGAAGGAAACTTTTTTTGGGGGGGGGGCTAGGCATTGGGGTTAACTGACTTGCCCAGGGTCGCACAGCTAGTGTCAAGTGTCTGAAGGCAGATTTGAACTCAGGTCCTCCTGACTCCAGGGCTGGTGCTCTCTCCACTGTGCCACCTTGCTGCCCCTATGGAAGGCATTCTTAACTATAACATACCCAACCAATGACCATCTTCTGTTGGCATTTCATTCCCCTTCCAGGACATCTCCTCTGAGTGTTAGGAAACTTCTCCATTATCAGGCCTCTTTGTAACTTCTGTTCTTTGCTCCTGGTCCTGCTTGTCAGGCTAAACAGAACAAACCTAGTCAGTTTTTCACCTACTTTCCCCTACTTTTAAGATTATTATCATGTCCCACTCCAATCATCTCTTTTCTAAGCTCCACATTCCCTGTCCCATCACCAGTCTAGTTACTCTTCTCTGTATACTCTCCAGTACCCTTCAACCTTCAGGTAAGGTCTGATAGATTAGAATACAATGAGATCAGCTCCTGGAAGTTGCCCCTCTTAATTATAGCACAGGATGACTTTAGCTTTTTTATTGGCTGCCATGTTACTCTGCTGAATCATTGAGCTTGTAGTCTACTAAAACCTTCAGATCTTTTCAGAACACTTGCTCTCTAAACAAGCCTCCCACATCTTCTACTTTTGAAGCTGTTTTTTTTTTAACTTGTGTAAGATTTTTACATTTATCCCTACTGAAAATTCCGTCTTACTAAGATTCAGTCCTGTTAAGAGCCTTTTGGATACTGACTTCCTGGGTGTTAGCTGCCCCTTCCCAGCTTTGTGTCATCTGCAGATTTGATGAACTTGGCTTCTATGCTTTCATCCATGACATTGATAAAAACATTTAACAGCCCTGGGCAAGTGGAGATCCTTGGAGGCTTCTTGTCCGTTGACATTAAACCTTTAACACTTCCTCTCTGGCTGAATAACCTTTCTGAATCCATTTGACTGGTGTTTTTGTATTGAATGGTTACCGCTTTCACCAAATCAAACATTTGTAAATTGTACACTGTCAAAAATATGGGATGAGGCAAAAGTTGAGGCAAGATATCTTTTACTCCTCATGGAACTCACAATTTAGTAGGGAACTATGACATGTAAGTAACTAGTGTCCAAAAAGTACATAATAAGGACACGAGAGGTACACGAAAAGTGCTAGGTAAGGTCTGAGGGATGAGGAAGTGAGTGATGACGATGATGATGACAATGATATAATAATGTCTAGTATTTAATGTCTAGTATTTATATAGTGCCTGCTATGGGCCAGGCACAGTATTTTAAAATTAGCGTCTTTCACAATCCTCACAACAAGCCTGGGAGGTAGGTGCTATTGTCTCCATTTTACAGTTGAGGAAACCACAGCTAGTAAGTGTCTGAGGCTAGATTTGAACTAAGGTCTTCCAGGCTCTAGGCCCAGTGTTCCATGCAATATGGCACCACTTAGCTGTCTCTGAGTACTGACGAGAAGAATCAGAAAAGGCTTCCAGGAAGTAGAGTTTAAGTTGGTCTTTAAGGGATGAGTTGGAATTCAACAAAGAAGAGAGTGAAATGGGGAAATCAGCCAGTAGGGTACAGTGTAGAAAGCCCTAGATTTGGAGTAAAAAGGGCCTGGGTTCTAAACCAGCTGTGCTTCCTTAGGGCTGCCACTAAACATTTCTAGGACTCAGTCGCCTCATTCATAAATTGAGGGGATTACCCTTAAGTCCCTCCTAACTCTAAATCCTTGGAGGCTTTGGGTTTAGCATGAGCAGAATTATGAAGCTGTGCACGAAGTATAAAGAATGCTTAGATGATATTGCTAAAATTTAATCAGGTGGTAATGAGGGCCTAGTCTCTAGGGTAGTGGAAGTGGGCATAGAAAAAGGGGGGCAGATGCAAGAGATACTACCAAGATAGAATTAACAGGACTTTGAAACTGTTAGATAGATAGATAAGAGATGCGAGAAGGGAAAGAGTCAAAAGTGCGCCAAGATTTAAAACATGGGAGACTGGACAGTTGATAGAAATAGTGAAGGCAAAAGGCTGAACAGATTATCCAGTCTTTATAACAATGTAAAATTTGGGACATTTTCGTGTATATCTCATTGAAGTTTACTTTACAGTATCTGTTGGCTATTTAATGGAAAAAAGCACATTTATTCATGCAGCTAATTATTCAGAGCGTATTTTGAAAGGGTTAAATAAAGACATTTAGGTTTTTTTCCCCTTGAAAGCTTTATTGAAGCTAAAATTGGTTTTGATGATTTTGATAACTAAGTAAGTGACTTAAAACGTAAAATCACTGACTTTGAATTAAATTGTTTTAATTGTACAGACGAAACTTCAAAAGCTGAAAAACCCAAAGTAGAAGAAGGTGATGAAAATCAAGATGATAAGGACTATCATAGAAGTGACCCACAAATTGCCATCTGCCTCGATTGCTTACGTAATAATGGGCAATCAGGGGACAATGTGGTAAAGGTGAGTGCACATCTGTATTTGGCTTATGGTAGCAAATAATTCACTTGGTAAATTTGGTGCATTATACAAGATGTATTTTCCTTTGACAGTCTTTTAAGCTCTTATTTACATAATTAGAATTATAGTCATTTGTTGATTTTGCAGGTACTTCCAGAACTAAAAACAGCCCACTTAAGGGTTTTTTGTAATCAACAACATGCAGAAAGCATTCATTAACCACCTACTATGTGCAAGGCACAGTGCTTATTGTTTAGTGGAGTGCTCAAAGGGAGACAGTGCCTGTCTTCAAGGAATTACATTTTACTAGTGGGTGATGCTAACGAAAGTTTAAATGCATTATGAAAACTGATATATTGTGGGTGGGGACTTCCTACTGGGGAATCTGGAAAGGCCTCTTGAAGGGGGTGGCATTTGAGCCCAGCCTTCCCGCCTGCTACCCAAGACATCCAGTCATATTAAGGTGCCTTAGGTCATTGATACCACCTGGTGGCTAGAGCCAGAAATTGTTTGATTCAATCTCCTTCCTTACCCTGTACCTCCTCCCCTTTTTTCTCCGCAAGGAGTTTTCATTACAGTTGGGTCTTTCTTTCATACCTACAGCTCAGTTAATTTCATTTCAGACAGTCACTTTTTCATATATCTACATCTACCCTTTGATTCCTTTTCTTCCTTCCCTTCTCTTCTCTTTCTCCCTCACTTTTCTTCTCTCTCCATTTGAGTAAAAACAACAACAACAAAACACCCATATCCTGGCTGAGAAGCTTGAGAGTAATGCTGGTATGGAGAAGAGGAAAGCCATGAGTTTTGAATTGAAATAATACAGTAATGAATTAAATGTTAAAGAACCCGTGCCATTATCCTCCAGAGCCCTTGTAAGTACCTAAAAGGACCTTCTATATCCTCCACAAGTATCTGCTTTTTCAGCTATTAAAACCTGTCTTTCCTTACTCACCATCAACATAGAAAGCAATTTAAAAATAGATATTTCTTATTCAATTCTATTATTTTTACTCTTTAGTGAATAATATCACAATATTATATTTTCCAGTATTTCCTGTTACAAATGTATGGTATTTCAGTCTCTTGATAAAGGTAAAAAGACATTTTTTATCCATTTTGAAAACCAACCCTACATTTAAAAACTTATGTCTTTGGAAAATTATGCTTTGAGCTTTGAAACAGCCAACTTTGAAAAGAGTGGTCCTGGGAAAAGTTAGTTTATTGATTGTTAATGGAAAGGAGGGATATACCCTTTAACTTTGATTGTATGATACTAACATTGACCTTTATATTTGACCAAGGTTTTGTTGGCTTTCGATGTCTTTATATGATGGTTGTAGTTATTTTGTGTAGCATTTTGGGGGCTCTGCCTTCTTCTGTCTGTCACTTCATGCAAATCTTGTTTTTTTCTGAATTCTTAATACTTGTCATTCTTTGTAGCATAGTAACTATGTTACATTATATTAATATACCAACAGGAAAATTTGGGGGAAAAAAATTTATATCCATTCCTGGGAAGATGTCCAAGGCAAATTTAAAGCAAATGTACAGCAGCTCACTTTAGCATTGCGGAGCAATGAAGAAATAAATTCCAGTAAGAAGAACAGCTCTGGTTGAATTTTGACCATTTGTTTTTTGAAGTGTTCTGATTTTCCAAAATATGTGCCAAGTTTATAATTAAATGTTAGTTAAAATTTGTATTTTAAAACAGTCTAAATTACTTTTGTATTATCCATAACCCTGCTTCCTTCCACCATCATGAAGAGTTCACTGTTTATTATATCAATGAAGTGCAGCGAATCATAATCTGTAGGGTGTTTTAAATGAATAAGCTGCTCAAAGAATTTTTTTAATAATTTTGTCTGAACCTGTGGTTTTGTTGGCATAGGGAGTTCCCAGTGAAGAAACTCCCTCTACCTGTGCAGATTGCAGCTGTTCTGTAACTTGGATCCTTAAAGAGATGTTTGGGACTCTGACAAGAGACATGACCTGCCCACTGTCACATACCTACTGTGTATGGGAGAAAAGATTTGTACTCAGGCCTCCTTGAATTCAAGGCCAGTTCTCTATCCACTCTGCCAGGAAGCCTTTCTTGCCAATATTATTAACTTAAAATATCATGGCACTTAAAGATTAGTTTAATTGTCACAAGTAACAAGTTTATGAATTGTCTTTAAATGAGTTCAGTTAACTTTTTATGGAAAAAAATTTTGTACAGCTTTAAACTTGACTATGTTAATCTTAACCAGGTTTCTCACAGATAGTCAAGGTGATTAAGGATAGGATGGCGTAGACCATAATAGTTGGGGATAGAGTAATATAAATCACTATTAGAAGAACATTTTAATACATATGACCTACTGCCCTGAAGTTAACATCATCAGTCATCTCTGTATGTGATCCTCACCAGTATTATTATTATTGTCAGTACCTATTAGAATCTTAGAATGATTACCCAAGTAATAGACTGCCTGAAAGATAGAAGGTAGCAAATAGATTATGAAATAAGAAATATTAGAATGAAGCCAGAAGATTGAAATATTAGAAAAAATACAAGGGATCTACTGGGTTTTGTTTGCTTTTTTGGGTTTTCTGCAAGACAGTTGGGGTCACACAGTTGCCCAGGATCACACAGCTACTAAGTGTCAAGTGTCTGGTCTGAAACTGGATTTGAACTCAGGTCATCCTGACTCCAGGGCTGGTGCTCTATTCACTGTGCGACCTAGTTGCCATGATCTACTGGGTTTGTTTGTTTATTTTTGTTTTTAAAAACTGACCTGCAGAACAGATCTAAGAGAAACAAATTAAGAATCACCAAAGTTCTCTGAGTTGCAGATTGAAGCATTTTTTTCTACAACATGGTTAATGTGGAAATATCTTTTGCATTACTTCTCATATATATAATGGCTATCACATTTTTTCCCCTTCTCAATGAGTGGGGAAGGGGGTATAAGGAAGGAAAGAATTTAGAGCTGAAAAGAAAAGGAAAAAAAAATTATCAGAGTTCCCAAAAACCTTGATTGAACGAAAGGCTTGAATGCTATATTCCAAGACATCATAGAAGAAAATAGCCCATATCTATTAGAGCCAAAGGGCACAAGTGAAAATGAGGACTTCCTCTTAAGGTTGTAAAGTAAGAGGTCATAGAGCTTCCACATAGACCAAAGAGAAAAAAAAGTAAGTTGTTGGTGGCCAGAACTCTGTTTTCTATTGGAACCTCGACAGGAGCCACAAACAATTTCCAGTTGGGGATTGTGCAAGCAAAAGAAGGAAGATGTGGGCTAAGGCTACCAGAAGACGGAGGCAGGGAGGGTGGGTAAACTAGTGCCAGCCACTCCAGCTGGAATTGCAGTGGCATCTAGACAGTGGAGATATGGCCAAACAAGGTCTGCCTGTTACATTCAAGAGTGTAGGAGTGAATGCTACCAGGCTATGTAGCACAAAGTTCCAATTCAGAATTAGAGGCTGGAGATATGAGTAAACAGAAGAAAACCCAGAATACATTGGAGACATCGTATAGGTTAAGAGAAGCTCAAGAAGTAAACTTAGAAGAAGAGTCATAATTCCACAATACAAGTAGAGCCTCTAGAGAAAAGAATGGCTTAGCTACAAGGACTCCCAAGAGTGATTTTAAGAAATGCACAATGAAATGCAAGGAAGAGAAATAATTTGGAACAACAGGTAGAATTCCTTACCTAAGTAATGGACTTCCTGAAAAATAGAAGGGAGAAAATAGAATATGAGATAAGAAACATTAGAATGAAGTCAGAAGATTGAAATATTAGAAAAAACATGTTATCTACTTTTTTTTTTTACTGACTTACAAAACAGATCTAGGAGAAATAAATTAAGAATCATCAGAGTTCCTGAAAACCATGACCAAATAAAAAACTTGAATGCTATATTCCAAGAAATTATGGAAGAAAATAGCCCATATCTATTAGAACCTACTAGTTGCCTCCTGAAAGAAACCCTAAATTGAAAATACCCAGGAATGCTTTAGCTAAAATACAAGTATTCAAGTCCAAGGAAAATACTGCAAGCAGAAATATAAAAAGTTCAAGTACCAAGGGTCTGGATTATGCAAGATTTTATGTTGCAGCAACTTTAAAGTAGAAGAAGTCGTGAAATACGTACAACTCCAGAAGCCTGGAGATTAGTCAAGGTTAATACTCTTGAGAGGTTGATGGTCTGTCTGCACCTTCTGATAAGGTTAATGTGACATATATTTTTGGAATGCATTTGTATGACTTTATTTTACCTGGTTTTCCTTATTTGTTGTAAGAGGGCTTTTATTTTGTCAGAGGGGAGGGGAAAGGAGGAGATGACAGTATTAGAGATTCAGAAAGAAAATAAATTAGCATCAGTGAAACATTTTTGAAAATACACAGAAAAGAGAAGGAAATTCAGAATAAGAACACAGATCAGCAGGATGGTGTCACACTTCTGTGTTAACTTTAATAGAATAGGGCTAAAGATTGGACTTTTGAGGGGCAGCTAGGTGGTGCAGTGGTTAGAGCTCCAACCTTGGAGTTAGCAGGACCTGAGTTCAAATGTGACCTCAGACAATTGACACTTACTAGCTGTGTGACCCTGGGCAAGTCCCTTAACCTTGATTGCCTAAGCACAAAAAAAAAAAAAGATTGGACTTTTGATTTCATTGGTAAATGGATTTCTTTGGAGAAGAACTCCCTCTAACCATGAAGGGCATATCTTTGCAGTTTGCATTTAAACATGCTGTATGTAATAGTTGTTCATGTGCAATCCTCTTTTTTTCTTTATGTATTGAAATATTCATTTTTGTTGATATTAGATTCAAAATAAGGAACATTTGGAGAGAAAAGAATCTTAGAATATTAGAGATATAAGGGTTTATTTTACATCTTTGATGTATCTTTTCAAGCATATGTCCTCCCATTTCATTGTTATATATTTCTAAAGGTCTTGAGAGATGTCATATTATAAGTGCATATATGTTATGTTATATGTGTGTATATGTT